AGAAAAGCTGGAAGGCTGAAATTTTCAGGGAATGTTCCCAACCCATATACGACCTAAATTTATCAAGTTCAGCCCCCAGTCACCCGTGGCCCTCACGTATGGCCCCGTGAAATTTTTCGGCGGGAAAATGGCTAACTCGGAAACCAGGAAAGCTGGAGGCTGAAATTTTCAGGGAATGTTCCAGGCACAAGTACGACATAAACCTATCAAATTCAATCCCCAGTCATACCTGGTTCTCATGTACGGCCCTGTGAAACTTTTTTGGCGGGTAAATGACTAACTCGAGAACCAGAAAAGTTAGGAGGCTCGGACTTTGGAGAATATTCCCCGTCCAAATAAGACTTAAATCTTCAAATTCAGCCTTCATTTATGCGTGATTCTCGTATACGGGCAATTAAATTTCTGGCGGGAAAATTACTCATTGAACAGTTGAGTTATTTTCAAAAAACACCGCCAAACGGAAATAGTTTATTTCTATTTGTGCGAAATTTACGATGATTTTCGACATTAGGCACATAAGGTAGGTGTGAAGGGACAGCAGTTGACCTAATCCAAGTATTGTGCAAAAACGCATGTTCGCACCGGCTCGCCTGGTGCGTTTCAGCCTGGGTTTGCATGAAGTCCGGTCGTTTTTTCTGTAAATGCTCGCTTTGTGACAAACTGACAAATGCAAATTTCCAATTCACTAAAAAGTGAAAGTATTGCTCGAGCGGTCGTTTGTCAAAAAATCTACGTTCTTACATATACGATTACGGTTCAGGTCCGAGCTGCGAACGATTTTTGGGTTAAACAGCTGCTTGAGGCTTTGGTTGAGAGGCTCGACAGCTGAGTTTAAAATCTTTAGCTCGCATGTGCATAGAGGATTTCCTTGCAAAGTTTCAGCTTTCTGCCGTGCCTGGCTGGCGAAATTGTTTCCCGCCAACATATTTCTTTGGGGTCCCGTAGACGGGGTCTAGGTGCGTATGGGGAAAGACCTTAAAACGGGAGGATGACACACGGAATAGGAACATATATTCAAAGTTTCAGCCTCCCAGCTTTCCTGGTTGCTGAGATGAAAGTGGGTGACAAAATGCACTCGCTTTCGCACGTATGGGGGAAGATCTTAAAACGGGAGGATGACACACGGGGTAGGAACATATATCCGAAGTTTGGGTTTAGGCGCGTATGGGGGGAGATACCAAAACGGGAGGATGACACACGGGGTAGGAACATATATCCGAAGTTTCAGGGGTCCCGTACGCGGGGTCTAGGCGCATATGGAGAAAGAGCATAAAACGCGAGGATGACACATGGGTTAGGGACATATATCCAAAGTTTCAGATCAGCTTTCCTGGTTGCCGAGTTGAAAGTGGGTGACAAAATGCACTCGCATTGCGAACACACACACAAACTTTCCTGATTGCTGAGATGAAAGTGGATGACAAACTGCACTCGCTTTCCGAACACACACACAGACAGCCTCTCGACAATATGCGTTTTTGCTGGCTGTAGCAGCGCTACAGCGCTGTTATAGTGCTGCATAGCAAAACGCATAAAAATGGGGAAAAATTGGAACCAAGAGTTAAAAATTCGCTTGGAGAAACGCAGAATCAGTCGATTAAACAGCAAAGTTAACTGGAAAATGCCATACTGTGGTAAAAGAAAGCCTAGAATGAAAAAAAGACACAGCTCGATAGCGACACAGATGGTATTAAAAAATTTGATCAGAAAGAGCTTCAAAAGGCACCAAAATGTTGTTTTATGGTGGTGCGGATGAGCTGCCGATTTTTTCAAATAAAACCATTTTGATGTGTATTAGGCATTACTTAACTCCGCCATGCTTAGTCTGCGACGATCTTAGGCAATTTGCTGGCCGGAAGATCACAACACGACACTGATACTTGATACTCGAAACGAATACTGGCTCGCCACTGATTCATATTCGGAACGTTCTCTAGTAGTTTTGATAACCATTTCTTCGACTTTGTATTTGTTTAGCATAAGACGGGTCTGACGGGTCTGTTACTGACGGCGAACTGAAAGGATCCTCTCTCTGACGGATGACCCTCCCTCTGTTTCATTAAGCACTTTCGAAGCGATCTCTGCTCTTTTTTCTTGAAAAAAACCTTCTCTATTATCTTATTTAAAATTCACGCACTTATTCGGTGTAGAGCAGCTTTCTTCCGAGAGTCCTTCGATATGGACGAAATAAATCAGTAGAACCACTTGGGCAGTCGGTGTTGAAGCTCTCGATTTCATTTGGAGCAACAATACTTACAGTGCAGGGATGCAACATCACAATTTATTCATCAAGCATTTTTTTTAGAAACGAGGCATTGCTTCCTCACATACAGTTCTTGGTACCATTCATGTTACATCGACGACACGTGTCGGTCATCTTTCCAGCAGTGGGATAAATCGTGCCAATGTAAAGTTTCTCTTTCTGGATCAAATCATAACTGGTCATCGAGAATGGGCACTGTTCCAGTTCGAACTGAAAGATTTTGCATAAAAAACGCAAGTCATCCTCGTTTGTTTCACGTAAGTTTCAACCATCAGTTCTTATCGTTTGTGAGTTCTCGTCAAATCATGCGCTCGCGCATGACACCTGTCGGATTCTATTTTTCGCTTGCTCACAGCGACATCTTGCATGACGCTTCCCCAATGATATACGTTCAATCAGATTCCGGACTTACTTTGCATGGACCACGGGGCCGAGAGCTAAGGAAGCAAAGCGTGTCGACCGCCATTTCGAACTCCGGACTGCTTCCGATGAAAAATGACCCACTCGGCTTCAAATTATTTTTCCATGTGAATTTCACTGTGGCCATTACATTCTAAAATTGATAATTTTGTATTTTTTTAAAACTTTTTTTTTGAACACGTCCCGCTTCATCAACGTCATTTTATCGCATCACAATTATTACTGTTGCATTTTATCTACCTATTCCTTTCTTCTTGCCGTTGTTAATACACTGCTCTATATCATACTTTTGTCTTCTGCACAGTAGCATGCAGTTAAACAATTTTTTCTTTTCTGACCTTCGACTGTTGCCCGTTTCTTTCCTTTATTTGATTTACTTTCCTATTTTTGTTCATCAATATTTTACAGTTGCTTATTAAAATCTTTCGCTTATATGTATTAAATTTCTATAATTACATGTTAATTTTTCATAACTATATGTTTTTTAATGTTACGTACGTTATACTTCTACTGTAACGCAAGCAAACATTTACTAAAAACATTATATACAATTCTAATATTAATTTAAACTCAATCTTTTCGTTTTACGATAACAGCATCATAACAACAACAATAATTGAATTTCTCAAGGTTTATACAGTGCTGTCTACAGTTGTATGATTTATATAATTTCCATCGCAATTTTATACTTCTACCAGAACATGATATCAGCAACTTACATTACTTGCCACCTTCACTGTTAACTATTACGAATTAAAATTCTTGTTTCATGTGTAGAATATTGATCTAATATCAACATTAATAGGTCGGATAATATGACGAATATTGAGAATACAATACCGGGATCGTATGAAAATGACACAGGTATGATTTCTACTTGCATGTTTCATTTAAACCTCCATGGTTATATAGAAA